GAGATAATCTCACTGCATAGCCCAGGCTGACATGTATAACCCAGCAGGCTTGAATTCCCTGGCTCAAGTAATCTTCCTGCCTCAGCCTCCTGAGTAGCTGAGACTACAGACATGCACTACCTCTCTCAGCTTGCTACTTTTCAGAAAGGGTAGACAAACTACAGCAGCTGCCTGTACACCATACTTGGAGAAGAAGGGGTGAGGAAGGCTGCACCCTCATTCTGTCATCTTAACTGTGTGGTTTTTTTTTTTTTTTTAACTGCAAAATCCAAAACTTTTTGAGTGCTGACACCACATGGGTCACTAAGATAGTGACACCTTTGCTTTCTGACAGTTCAATCTATACAAACTTTGTTTCGTGCATAAAATTATTAAAAGTATTATATAAGATTACCTTCAGGATATGTTTACAAGGTATATATGAAACATAAATGAATTTTGTGTTTAGGCTTGGGTCTCATCCCCAAGATATCTCATTATGTATATGCAAATATCCCCAAATCTGAAATCTGAAACTCTCCTGGTCCCAAGCATTTCATATAAGCAATGCTCAATCAGTATGGCTACATCCATCTATACATATAAAGCCACTGAGAGAAGCAGTCCACTTGGTAAAATCTTCTGTACTGTCCTTCACAGCTTAGATTTGATCTTTCCTTAAAGATGTAGCTGGGATATACAAGAGTGTGAATCTGGGCTGACTCAAAGCTCTTCTCTTGAAGGCTTTTTCCTGTGGCACTGGCAGATGGCTGTGCTGTCTTCTGGCTGAGGAACAAGTTCCATTCCATCACATACTTCGGGTTTGCTGGACTGGCGCTCAGCATATTTCTGCAGTACTTGGTAATAGTAGCAGTAAAGCCTGTGTGGCTGTAGTAGGTCTCTAGCCATCAGTTGTCCTTCTTTTACAATCTTCTTGGCTTCTTCATCATTTTCCTTAGCCCATTTAACTTTCTCTAATAAATCACCAAGATTTCTTTTAATTGGAACATAATGCCTCCAAGGCTCTAGTGCCATATAGAAATGTTCATAATATGGTGAGTCCTGCTTTAAAACCAGACTGTCACCCAGCATGAGATATGGATATCTATAAGCAGCCACGGTCCCATCCACATTAACTTGATACTTGTACTTGAAGAAATCAAAGAAACCCATCAACTTGGCTTTTCCAAGCTCCTTTTCTTTCTCTTGGAAAAAGAAATATCCTGTAATTCCTGCATCTAGTAGCTGAGGATTTTTTTTTGACAGTTGTACCAACTGGAGCCTCTCCTCTCGGCTGTCTCTACCTCTGAAGAAAGCTCTCTCTTTTTTGTTGATCCAGGAAGGCCCTGTATTTCCCTGAATAGAGAGGAGATCATTTGTAACACCCCTCATGGCTTCAAATGTGAAGTGGGTGATGTCATATGTTGGAAGGACAATATCTTTTGAATCCAGAGAGCTGCATCATGAAATGATAGGTATGGGGCTGGGGGTTCCATTGACTTTTCGATGCTCCAAAGGCCAATCTCCAAGATTAACATAAAATTCTAAATCTGGGAGGAGGACCTTTCTTGTCAGTGATAACAAAATCTCATCAGAGAACATTTTGAAGTCCGTGTATTTCCCTAAAGATCTCCGGTGAATGTGGTTATTGAGAATTGTGTAATGAACAACGGCACCTCTCTCGTCCCCAAACCTTTTGGGGACTTCGTTTAGCATTTGCTGGAGATTGATGCTGGGAAAGGAGGCAAAATCTTTTGCAATCTGCTGTTCTGTGGTCGGACAAGAAAGAGTTTTCTGCCAGGCCTGAGGATTTTCTGGACACTCACAGTACTCATGGTATACTGGTCCTTTCAAAATATAGGGAGACTGAGCCACATGTTCATCACCATAAAGGACCTCTACCTTCAGCCCTTCATTGGCAGTTTCATTTATCCTATATCTCATCAAAAATGTTCCATCATTCCTGTCCAAAGGTTTAGGGACATGAATCCGGACCAGCTCTTTAGGTGAAAGAGATTTGACTACTACTTTGAATGGTGTTTGACCTGGGGGCGCGCGAGTGAAGTTCTGGCCCTCTGAGTTGACCGCCTGCGGGTAGAAATAGCGGACCGGCAGGACGACGGCCGCCTGCAGCTCGGGCCCCCACACCAGGCCCCGCGGCGCGCTCACCAGCGCCTCCGGGGCGCCCGCGGCCACCAGCAGGGCGAGCCGCAGCAGCAGCAGGGCCCGCAGGAGGCGGCGCATGGTCGGCGGAGCAGCTGCGGTCCAGCTCCGCGGCGGCGAGGAGGGGCCGGTTGCGCCGCGGGCCGGGCGGGGACTCTGTCATCTTAACTATGTTATCTTCCAGTTTCAACATCGTAAATAGCACGGCAGTCTTATATTATGGGCCTCCTGATGTGACGCAAAAATCACCAATGTAGCATTCTTGCCAAAAATATTGACTATGAATCTAATCTTGAAGAAGCAATCAGGTAAATCCAGAATATGATACTAGAAAACTGGCCTGGCCTGAACTCCTAAAATCAATGACATGAAAAAACAAACAGGCTGAGTGTGGGGCAGAGGATACTCTTCTATATTAAAAGAAACTAGAGGCTGGGTGTGGTGGCTCACGCCTGTAATCCCAGCACTTTGGGAGGCCAAGGTGGGTGGATCACCTGAGGTCAGGAGTTCGAGACCAGCCTGACCAACATGGAGAAACTCAGTCTCTACTTAAAAAAAAAAAAAAAAAAAAATAGGCCAGGTGCCATGGCTCACGCCTGTAATCCCAGCACATTGGGAGGTCAAAGTGGTCAGATCAAAAGGTCAGGGGATCAAGATCATCCTGGGCATCATGAAGAAACCCTGTCTCTACTAAAAATACAAAAAAATTAGCTGTAGTCCCAGCTACTTGGGAGGCTGAGGCAGGAGAATTGCTTGAACCCAGGAGGTGGAGATTGTAGTGAGCCAAGATCACGCCACTGTACTACAGCCTGGGTGACAGTGCAAGACTGCCTCAAAATATATATATATATAAATATATATATATATATATGCACAAAATTAGTCCAGCGTGATGGCACTTGCCTGTAATCCCAGCTACTTGTGAGGCTGAAGCCAGAGAATCGCTTGAAGCTGGGAGGCAGAGGTTGTAGTGAGCTACAATCACGCCACTGCACTCTAGCCTGGGCAACAAGAGCAAAGCTTCATCTCAAAAAACAAACAAACAAAACACAAAAACACTAGAGAGACATAACCAAATTCAATTTGTGAACCTTGCTTGCCTCCTGGACTGAAATAAAAATGCTAAAATGCTATTCTTGGAACAAGTCAGGATAGTACTGCTGAATTACTGTTGGTGTGGTGATGGTGTTTTCATTGTGTAGAGCAAGGCTTCTCAACCTCTGCTGTTAACATTTTGGTCCAGAGAATTCATTCATTTATTTATTTTTCTTTTTTTCTTGAGACAGGGTCTTGCTCTGTTGCCCAGGCTGGAGTACAGTGGTGCAATCATGGCTCACTGCAACCTCCCCTTCCCAGGCTCAAGCAATCCTCCCAGCTCAGCTTCCCAAGTAGCTGGGACCACAGGCTTACATTGCCACACCAGGCTAATTTTTTGTATTTTTTGAAAAGATGGAGTCACACTTTGTTGCCCATGCTGGTCTCCAACTCTTGGGCTCAACTGATCCTCCCACCTCTGCCTCCCAAAGTGTTGGGATTATCACCAACCCTGCCTGGGTCCAGATAATTCTTTCTGGCGAGTTGTTTAACAGCACTTCTGGTCTCTGTCCACTAGGTGTCAGTAGCACCATACCTCTTTAGTTGCAACAACTAAAAATGTCAAATGTTTTCTAATTAGGTAGTGGTAATGGTTGCATAACATCATGAATATACAAAAACCATTGGACTGTACCCTTTAAAATGGTTAAAATGGTGAATTTTGTGTTATGTAAGTTTTCCCAATAAAAAATGTAATGAGGCCAGGCGCAGTGCCTCACTCCTGTAATCCCAGCACTTTGGGAGGCCAAGCCGGGCAAATCACTCAAGATTAGGGGTTGGAGACCAGCCTGGCCAATGTGGAGAAACCCCCATCTCTACTAAAAATACAAAAATTAGCCAGGTGTGGTGGTGGGCACCTATAATCACAGCTACTTGAAAGGCTGAGGCAGGAGAATCACTTGAACCTGGGAGGCAGAGATTGCAGTGAACCGAGATCACACCATTGCAGTTTGCACTCCAGCCTGGCTGACAAAAGCGAAACTCTGTCAAAAAAAAAAAAAAAAAAAAAGAGTTTTCTCCTCCATACTCCCAGAGCCCCAGTGAGTCCCCTGCTCTGCAATGCTCATACTCATTGTGCTGTTACTGCAAGTCAATGAGAATGTTGGTGGATTTCTCTCCAACTTCACCAGAAGACTGAACGGAGGCTCAGAAAAATGGCACAAACCTGTGGTTTCTCAGTGCTGTGGCTCATGCCTGCAATCCCACCACTTTGGGAGGCTGAGGTGGGCGGATCACTTGAGGTCAGGAGTTTGAGATCGGCCTGGCCAACATGGTGAAACCCTGTTTCTACCAAAAATACAAAAATTAGCCAGGCATTGTGGTATGCACCTGTAATCCCAGCTACTTGGGAGGCTGAGGCAGGAGAATCACTTGAACCTGAGAGGCAGAGGTTGCAGTGAGCCGAGATGGCACCACTGCACTCCAGCCTAGGCAACAGAGCAACACTGTCTCCAAAAAATAAATTAAGTGGGCATAGTGGCATGTACCTGTAGTCCCAGCTACTAGGGAGGCTGAGGTGGGAGGATTGCTTGAGCCCAGGAGGTCAAGGCTGCAGTAAGCCGTGAGCGTGACTCTAAGCTCAGTCTGGGCAACAGAGCAAGATCCTGCCTCAAAAATAAATAAGTAAATAGCCGGGCACGGTGGCTCACGCCTGTAATCCCAGCACTTTGGGAGGCTGAGGCGGGTGGATCGCGAGGTCAAGAGATCGAGACCATCCTGGTCAACATGGTGAAACCCCGTCTCTACTAAAAACTACAAAAAATTAGCTGGGCATGGTGGCGCGTGCCTGTAATCCCAGCTACTCAGGAGGCTGAGGCAGGAGAATTGCCTGAACCCAGGAGGCGGAGGTTGCGGTGAGCTGAGATCGCGCCATTGCACTCCAGCCTGGGTAACATGAGTGAAACTCCGTCTCAAAACAAACAAAAAAAACACAAACAAAAAATAAATAAGTAAATAAAAGATGATACAAAGAACAAGGGTACAAAGGTACAGGAAGGGAAGACAGCCAGTATAAAGTGGGTCATCAGCAGGGTTCCACCGGGGCTGCCTGGTCCCCCCGGGGTTTGGGTGGGGAACTCTGGGCTACAGTGCAGAATGCACATCTCAGAGAAGTTCCACCCAAGGAAGCAGAGTAGATATACAGCAACACCCTGTCAGTCCCTTGGAGGGTTCCTGGGGAAGGCTTAATTCCTGGCACTTCTGACCAACTTGTAGAGTGAGCTCAGAAAGCCCCAGGCACATCAGAGGCAGATACCAGCAGTGGACACAAGAGTGTTTCAGGTGTGTCTAAGCATGTTCATTCCCCAAAACGTGGCGCCCATACCAACAGCGTCAGCCTAACTTAGGAACTTGGGAGGATATAAGTCTGACTCTGCCCAGACATAATGAATCAGAAACTCCTGGGGTAGGGCTCAGCTGCTAGAAGTTTAATAGACCCTTCAGGTGGCTCTGGTGGGGCTAAGCTTTAAGAATCTCTGCCCTAACCTACCATTTCTAACTCCAAAGCCCAAGGCCTTTCTGGTACCAGATGATAGATGAGGCCTGGAGCCAATGAATAGGAAGGGCTGCTGGGGGCGTTAGAGGCAGAAAGACAAGCAGCCTGACACTCAGCTTGACACTCAGCTTTGGGGACACCAATAGGTGCTGGCCCTCAGAACCCAGTGAGGAGGCAGAGGTCATTCCTTTATCTTGAAATATGTCCTGATCACCTACTGTATGCCAGGGCCTGCGCAGATGCTCAGAGCTTACTAGGAACCTAGGGGTGGAGGGAGCAGGGTTTATGTGAAGGCTGGGGATTGAATACAAATAATTTTTAAATTTAAGGACAGGGTCTTGCTATGTTGCCCAGGCTCTTAAACTCCTGGGTTCAAGCAATCATGCCTCAGCCTCTAAAGTGCTGTGATTATAGGCATAAGCCACCACAGCTGGCCAAGCTCAGTTCTTTCTGGGGGTGGGTTTGTGAAGCCTTCCTCAGCAGTGAGCCAAAGGCCTAGAACAGAGGAGAGGGGGTGCAGACAAGAAGGAACAAGGCCTCAGCTTCCCATTCTTGGCAAATTTAAACCTGGCAACCAGGCTGATGATATTCTCATTTCACAGAAAAGTCTACTTTTCTCAACTGAGGAGCAGGTGTCAGGAGCACTGGAGCCAGCCTCCCTCTCCAACCAGGGCCTGTTCATTTCTCCCTCTTGCCTGAAGACCCTGGGGATGGAGGAAGAGCATCAGCCCAGGGGCACGGTCTATTCTGGGCCAGCACATGGAGTGAAGGCAGAGCTGGCCTCAGGCCGTCGCCTGTTCCTCCCTCCCCTTATTCCCTTGGCAGCAGACACATGACATAGAAATCACTGGTTCCACCAAAAACTGCACAGCCCAGATGCTGCTGGCCTGATCGGGGCCAAGCTGAGTCACCACTTTAGGATATGATTCTGCTTTGTGGACTATGAATGAACCCTCATCACCCCATGCTCAACCCCCAAGTGAAGGCTAACGTTACAGCAGATCCGTGGATATCCCAGGGTGATGAGGCACTAGGCCACCTGCTGTCTATTCCCTGGCACTTCATTCTTCTGATAATAAAATATGAGACAGAGGAAAAAAAAAAAAAAAGAAAGAAAGAAAAAGTATGAGAGAGAATGGGACATGAAGTGGACCTGAGGTGGACCCTGATTGGTGTCCAGGCATGTCATATACAGGAGGGGCACGTACGGTCACTGGGCGTGGCACCCTAGATAATGACCCAGAGGGAGGTTGTAGATCTGGGCCCTGGGATCCAGGCTGATGAGGAAAGGCAAGAAAAAAAGAAGGGACCCTGCACGGTGGCTCACACGGTGGCTCATGCCTATAATCCCAGCATTTTGGGAGGCCAAGTTGGGCAGATCACTTGAGGTCAGGAGTTTGAGACCAGCCAGGCCAACATGGTGGAACCCCGTCTCTACAAAAAAAATTTTTTAATTAGCCAGGTATGGTGGCACACACCTGTAATCCCAGCTACTCA